TTATCAAAAGAAAAGAAGTTTTTATGACCACACGGCCATTTCATCATACAAATGGCCAGTGTGGAGCATACTAGCTGACGTACGTCGTGTAGGAAATGGTACATTGTACGTACTGCTGTCAATTTGGCTACGCTTTGTTTGGCACTTGATCATAGATGCGCGAGAGTGACCGTGTAGTCATCAAAACGTCACATTCAAACCTTCTACCGGTTGTGTTATAAGATGAAGGTGACCGTGAAGTCATCAAAACGTCACATTCAAACCTTCTACTGGTTGTGTTATAAGATGAAGGTGACCATGTAGTCATCAAAACGTCACACTCAAACCTTCTGCTGATTGTGTTATAAGGTGAAGGTGACCATGTAGTCATCAAAACGTCACATTCAAACCTTCTACCGGTTGTATTATAAGATGAAGGTGACCTGTAGTCATCAAAACGTCACACTCAAACCTTCTGCTGATTGTGTTATAAGATGAAGGTGACCATGTAGTCATCAAAACGTCACATTCAAACCTTCTACCGGTTGTGTTATAAGATGAAGGTGACCGTGTAGTCATCAAAACGTCACATTCAAACCTTCTACTGGTTGTGTTATAAGATGAAGGTGACCATGTAGTCATCAAAACGTCACATTCAAACCTTCTACCGGTTGTGTTATAAAATGAAGGTGACCGTGTAGTCATCAAAACGTCACATTCAAACCTTCTACCGGTTGTGTTATAAGATGAAGGTGACCGTGTAGTCATCAAAACGTCACGCTCAAACCTTCTACTGGTTGTGTTATAAGATGAAGGTAACTATGTAGTCATCAAAACGTCACATTCAAACCTTCTACTGGTTGTGTTATAAGATGAAGGTGACCATGTAGTCATCAAAACGTCACATTCAAACCTTCTACTGGTTGTGTTATAAGATGAAGGTGACCATGTAGTCATCAAAACGTCACATTCAAACCTTCTACTGGTTGTGTTATAAGATGAAGGTGACCATGTAGTCATCAAAACGTCACATTCAAATTCTACTGGTTGTGTTATAAGATGAAGGTGACCATGTAGTCATCAAAACGTCACGCTCAAACCTTCTACTGGTTGTGTTATAAGATGAAGGTGACTATGTAGTCATCAAAACGTCACATTCAAACCTTCTACTAGTTGTGTTATAAGATGAAGGTGACCATGTAGTCATCAAAACGTCACGCTCAAACCTTCTACTGGTTGTGTTATAAGATGAAGGTGACTATGTAGTCATCAAAACGTCACATTCAAACCTTCTACTAGTTGTGCTATAAGATGAAGGTGACCATGTAGTCATCGAAACGTCACATTCAAATTCTACTGGTTGTGTTATAAGATGAAGGTGACCGTGTAGTCATCAAAACGTCACATTCAAATCTTCTACTGGTTGTGTTATAAGATGAAGGTGACTATGTAGTCATCAAAACGTCACATTCAAACCTTCTACTGGTTGTGTTATAAGATGAAAGGTCATCAAAACGTCACACTCAAACCTTCTACCATGTAGTCATCAAAACGTCACATGTCAAACCTTCTACTGGTTGTGTTATAAGATGAAGGTGACCATGTCAAAACGTCACATCAAAACTGGTTGTGTCACATTCAAACCTTCTACTGGTTGTGTTATAAGATGAAGGTGACCATGTAGTCATCAAAACGTCACATTCAAACCTTCTACTGGTTGTGTTATAAGATGAAGGTGACCATGTAGTCATCAAAACGTCACACTCAAACCTTCTACTGGTTGTGTTATAAGATGAAGGTGACCGTGTAGTCATCAAAACGTCACACTCAAACCTTCTACTGGTTGTGTTATAAGATGAAGGTGACCGTGTAGTCATCAAAACGTCACACTCTAATCTTCTACTGTTGTGTTATAAGATGAAGGTGACCGTGTAGTCATCAAAACGTCACACACTAATCTTCTACTGTTGTGTTATAAGATGAAGGTGAACGTGTAGTCATCAAAACGTCACACACTAATCTTCTACTGGTTGTGTTATAAGATGAAGGTGACCGTGTAGTCATCAAAACGTCACATTCAAACCTTCTACTGGTTGTGTTATAAGATGAAGGGGACCGTGTAGTCATCAAAACGTCACATTCAAACCTTCTACTGGTTGTGTTATAAGATGAAGGTGACCGTGTAGTCATCGAAACGTCACATTCAAACCTTCTACTGGTTGTGTTATAAGATGAAGGTGACCGTGAAGTCATCCAAACGTCACACACTAATCTTCTACTGGTTGTATTATAAGATGAAGGTGACCGTGTGAACGTCACATTCAAACCTTCTACTGGTTGTGTTATAAGATGAAGGTAACTATGTAGTCATCAAAACGTCACATTCAAACCTTCTACTGGTTGTGTTATAAGATGAAGGTGACCGTGTAGTCATCAAAACGTCACATTCAAACCTTCTACTGGTTGTGTTATAAGATGAAGGGGACCGTGTAGTCATCAAAACGTCACACACTAATCTTCTACTGGTTGTGTTATAAGATGAAGGTGACCGTGTAGTCATCAAAACGTCACATTCAAACCTTCTACTGGTTGTGTTATAAGATGAAGGGGACCGTGTAGTCATCAAAACGTCACATTCAAACCTTCTACTGGTTGTGTTATAAGATGAAGGTGACCATGTAGTCATCAAAACGTCACATTCAAACCTTCTACTGGTTGTGTTATAAGATGAAGGTGACCATGTAGTCATCAAAACGTCACACTCAAACCTTCTACTGGTTGTGTTATAAGATGAAGGTGACCATGTAGTCATCAAAACGTCACACTCAAACCTTCTACTGGTTGTGTTATAAGAACTTCCTTTCTTTTTTTTGAAGTTTTTTTACATCATGATTCGGCGGGTAGGTACCGGAATCACGTGCTCCTTCTTGTTTGTTGAATTTTTGTCAGCAGTTAATGTTCTGACATTATGTTCGAATGTTATGTTAAACTCGTTAACATATTTACGAATTATTCCCCTTGTTTTTTAAACCATTTACTTCAAAAAGATATTAATCAGCCAGCAGTTCTACATATATTCAAGATGACGGCTCAGCTGTAATCACCTTTACAGTCATTGACTATTTCAGATTAAGCACACCTGGCTGTGACGAGTTTTGGTTCAATTTCACCTGTTCTTTTTGATAAAAACAAAAACAAAACAAAACAAAAAAAACCCCAAAAAAACAAAGAAAACATTTCAATTGTCACTAGCTTTATTTACATCTTCGGTAAAGACACATCCCACATTTCTGACAAATTTATGTGTGATCTCAGTGTTGTACTGACATACTACTACGTGGTGATATTGCCCCGTGTCGTCAATCTTATCATGTGGTATAGTCGTGCCAATTCGATCGGTCCTCTTTATTTTAATATGACGTCATTGTCCATGTTATGACTGAAGAAAATTCAGTATCCTAATAAGTCAACTAATAATAAAACCCATTTTTTTCCAAAAGTTTAGTAAAGTTTAACACTACAATTCCGTAAGATATACGTGATATATCCGTATTACCTACATGTGAAGCAAATACCTAAAATTGTTTGAAACAGAAGCACAAAATTTTTTTTTTGTCTTAAAAATCAGTGTAATATTTGTTTATTCAGTTACACAGCTGCTTATCGCATTTCAGGACCAAATTTTCTTCCTTTGAACAAAAGAAAAAAAAAGTTGTGTAGCTTATGAGGCGACACAAAATTTCATAGTAGCAGCCGAAAAGATTGTTTTCCTAACTAAAAGTATTTGTAATGTGTACAATTAAAAAAACATAAACAGAATTGTGAGTATTTTGCTTAAATCTTGTGTTGATATTTGACGCAACTCATACCTTTTGTAACTGAAGCTGTACACTTTTTGTCTGATGTGAAAGTCAAACGTCATAAGACCAGACAAGTTATATATATATATCCTATTACCTTGCTATGCTTTATGACAAAAGGAATTGACAAGTCCTTGGTGCTCAGGTCAGTTTTCATTTCATTAGTTAGTGAAACAAGTATACGAATTTCATATAGTTGAAGTGGAAAAAAATATTGAGAGCACACAAATATATATTACATGGGTGGATGATACAAAGGTACGTGGTAACTAAAAACTCAGAACGATACAAAAGTTCATGGTACACATGTACTTTATCCACAGGTACATGGTACCTATGTACACAATCCACAGGTACATGGTACACATGTACACAATCCACAGGTACATGGTACACATGTACACAATCCACATGTACATGGTACACATGTACACAATCCACAGGTACATGGTACCTATGTACATAATCCACAGGTACATGGTCTATAATGTACCAAGATCAAAGTTAGAAAGTAGGGCAAAGAATCTCATTTGTCATTTTCTTCATATTTCATTTCAGTTTAAAATGCCAGCAAATTGTAGAAATCTTAACACTGGAAGTGTTTAGTAAGACTTAAAGAATGTTTATCCCAATACATCGCTATAGCGTTTAGTACAGCTAAGCCTTTGTACCTGACTATAACGTGTTAGATAATACATTCCGCGTCACTGATACGCTTTTTGTACCTGACTATAACGTGTTAGATGATACATTCCACGTCACTGATACGCTTTTTGTACCTGACTATAACGTGTTAGATAATACATTCCACGTCACTAATACGCTTTTTGTACCTGACTATAACGTGTAAGATGATATATTCCACGTCACTGACACGCTTTTTGTACCTGACTATAACGTGTAAGATGATACATTCCACGTCACTGACACGCTTTTTGTACCTGACTATAACGTGTAAGATGATACATTCCACGTCACTGATACGCTTTTTGTACCTGACTATAACGTGTAAGATGATACATTCCACGTCACTGACACGCTTTTTATACCTGACTATCACGTGTAAGATGATACATTCCACGTCACTGACACGCTTTTTATACCTGACTATCACGTGTAAGATGATACATTCCACGTCACTGACACGCTTTTTGTACCTAACTATGAGGTGTTAGACGGTTCATTCTTCGTCCCTGATGTCCTCCCTCCATCGCCATGTGACAATACACTGTAGCGTTTTGTCCTGCTGTTCTGGTGGAGGGAGTTCATAGTGAACTGGGAATGGAGGTGGGCATTGTGTTGTGGGACGCTCCTCTTCAGACAACACACTAGAAGTCGAAGGAACCCATATCGGAATCTTTTGTTCATCCAGAAATATATGACAGGGTTACAGCAAGCATGGACAAGGGCGAGCCAAAGGATGAAGTTCCAGAGTAGATGTGAGTTGGGGACGTGGTCATAGATAGTAGGATCCACATCACTGTAGAGTTGGAGGGTGTGGAGAGGCAGCCAACACAAAGCGTACAGTAACACAACCACAATCATCATCTTTACCATCTGTAGACAAGATAAGATTAAGATTTAATTTCTGCTCCTTACACATGTTTGCAAAACAAGACATCACTTTAGTCATCAGTTTAGAAAAGATCATGTTGGAATGTTTGATATACATTGATATAGAGTTTTGGAGTTCAGCGAGCCGACTCCTCCAAAAACCAGGCGAGATGCTCAAGGACATAGTTATAAAAGCTAGGCTGTCTTAACCACCCTCTCTAGATAACCGGGGACAATAACCCTCACCAGATAACCGGGGACAATAACCCTATCCAGATAACCGGGGACAATAACCCTCACCAGATAACCAGGGACAATAACCCTATCCAGATAGCTGTGGACAATAACCCTCTCTAGATAACCGGGGACAATAACCCTCCCCAGATAACCGTGGACAATAACCCTCACCAGATAACCGTGGACAATAACCCTCTCCAGATAACTGGGGACAATAACTCTCTCCAGATAACCGGGGACAATAACCCTCACCAGATAACCGGGGACAATAACCCTCTCCAGATAACTGGGGACAATAACCCTCTCCAGATAACCGGGGACAATAACCAGACCGGTGAGCCTTTTTACAATACATACAGTTAATAGGCCTTTAAATGTTCTCACCTAAGGATACAAGGTATAGTGATTTGGACTGATTTCTTCCTATTTATTTGTATCTCTGGATATCCACACTCATATATTTATATAATGATATTCATCTCCAATACCACTTCTCCACGTAACCATGTTTTATCTCTCCCATAACCTAACTATCTACCAGTCCCAACAGGAAGTGACACAACTGGAGCTCTAAATTTGCACAAAATATTTCTACTTTTGACACTTATCTTTTTTTTTTAAATGCTCCTCACAAGCAAATGTTTTCTTTGAAAAAGGAATGCATATTTCCCCTAGATGAGTCTGTATCATTTCACCATTTCTAGATGAATGAGTCTCGATATTCCGCTTTATATTAGCCTTCAAAGCCTGTTAAACTTGACACATAATCACTTGGATTGATTCATTCAAAGTTTACACCTGTTTCACTTTAAATTGACTTTACAACATTGAAACATCTAAATTCTACAAATTTATTTTCATGTTATTTGTATATAAGGTGATACAATATTCCAGATAGTTTTCCTGTACAAGTGTTAAGCCTGTGCGAAAAAGCAATAATTCTCACGTTTAAATGATTAATCAGAGGGGATTTTCCAGATTCACCGTAAATATGTATGATGCAGTGTTTTTCCTCGCATTCAAACAACTCGGCGAGCATGATTTCTCACAATAAACTTTGTAAATTTACACACGCTTCACTCAATCCATTTTACAAACCCAATTACATCACTATACAGTGAATCTACAACCGTCTGATATCACACTAAAGGTTACAGCATCAAACTTTAAGAGTTTCTATGATTGATGGAAATTTTGGCGAAGGTTGGTAGTCGTGACGGTGATTTTATTGAGAAACATTCTATTTTGTTGTGCGATATGAAGCTGGACTAGTTTGATGCTCGTAATTTTGCCTGCTGGTTTAGTTCTTGTATACGTTGTTCCCATTTGGGAATGTGACCAAGATTTACATGGCGGATGTCGTCGATGAAGCAGGAAGCGCTTACTTTACGGAAACACATGGTCTTATTCTTCATGTACTTTTTTCAAGAGTCTCTGTGTAGATATTTCTTGTATTAATATCTTGCCCTAGTTTTAATGAATTTGAGTTTAGATTCTGTTCACATGTTGATATTGCCTTGTTGTTTTTATGACCACATTGTTCGTTACTAACAGAGCCTAATCTATTATCGAAACCAACTTCACATTAATTGATAAGGTATATCTATTTTAATTCGATTTCCTTACCTTTCGTTTTGATGATGCTAGGCGTTCGTCCCGTTGTCTGACGGCTTCCCCAGGTGTTCGCCGTATCCAGATAATGACAGCTATTCGGGTGTATGTAAAGGCTAGGACCACCAATGGAATTCCGTACTGTAGAGTCATTATAAGCAGACTATATACCGACCTCTGTGACTCGTTCGACCAATTCTCCAAACAGTGTTCTTTTTGGCTGTAACATGTATACCTGTCTGTGGAATTCGGGGTGTCCGGAATGTACAATCCCGCGCTGAGGGCAGTCGGAATGGGCATGGCGAAGGCTAACAACCACACAGTGAGAAGGGTGAACGCCATGCCACTGTAGGTCAGTTTTGGACGCAGCGGATGTACAATAGCTATGTATCTATCCACACTCATAGCGACCATCGTAAAAGCACTAGCAAATACCACGACAATCTCTATGTAGGCTACAAACGGACACAAAAATGCAGAAAAAGGCCAGTATCTAAATATCAAGTTTACCATCAGTGAAAATGGAATACCAGTGAACGCTTTTGCGATATCCGCCACAGCCAAATTCACCAGAAAGAAATTAGTTATTGTCCTTAACTGCCTCTCCGAGAAGATTAGGTAGCAGACGATACCGTTTCCGGTCACGTCAACGATGATGACAATTCCGTACAGGACAATCAGTATCCATTCAGTCGGACCCAATTCTGCCACACAGACGTCGTCCTCTGTCGGAAGGAAGGGATGTCCAGACGTGGTTGCCTCTGCTGGGGTCCGATTGCTGAAGGACGAGTTGACAAAGTAGTTGCCCACCACCATACTGGTAAGTATCTGTGGAATCTGTAAAACAATGTGAGGTAGTGAGTGTCTCTGAAAGTCTTGGATATTTGTCATAAGATTAAAGAAGTGAATGTTATAGTGCTATACACCTGCTTAAGAAACTGAGCATTGATCAAGTAAACTATGAACATCATCAACTACAGAATTCGCGCTTAGACGTATTTCATCACCTCCCCCAAGCGAAATCACACAACTGTCATATCGACTATGAGCCCAGCGTGTGACTATCTCATTTCTGTGAGTATTTTACAGTCTGTTCAACTGAAACTTCGGAAGAACAGTTATAATTGTGGTTGTGTAACACTTACATAACGAATAAATAAATGAATAGATAGATAGATAGATAATAGATAGATAGATAGGATAGATAGATAGATAGATAGATAGATAGATAGATAGATAGATAGATAGATAGACAAACAAAACTCTGGTTAAATGGGGGTTCAGTTCTCAGGTTATTGACCCCCAAAAACCGGAGTGTACCGTAAATATACCGCCAAGTAGTTAATGCTATCTGTTTACTCCACTTATATTTAGTTATAAATTTTTCTTTATTTTTTTTTGTTTGTTATGGATCAATAACATAAAAATAATTAAAATTAATGCTTATGATCTTAAAACGCATTGCAATATCTTTTGTCCTTTAAAATGGACTCTTTACTTTAATAATGCCCTACATCGCAGCATTGGCCAATTAATTTGCTTCTCTCATTTAGGATTAAATCATATGAAATGAACTGTGCTTTGATTTGATTTTAAAGTGAGAAAGAGGGGGTATGCATTAAACGCTTTAATACATAATGTATGTAAAAGATCGGATTTTTACACTAGCTGTCATTCTACTTCAGGTAACAAAAAGGTGATTAAACTACTTCCAATACTGCTGAAACGTAGCTGGTGACTACATAAAACTAGACGTTAGAAATGTAGAAGGTGAGTTTCATTAACACCATTGTTTTCTGTACTTTTGTTATTGGATGATACTCAGGTAGATTTGTAGAGCCTGAACCTTCACTGCTCAAGCAATATTTTTAGCACACAGGCCCAAAGATATAATGTAGCGCCCGTCGTCCGTCCGTCGTCCGTGGTCCGTTGTCAGTCCTTCAATTAGCGACATTTGACCAAAGCTGCTCAGAAGCATCCTGGGGAAAGCGGAAAATGAGTGGAGGATGCCTATTATTAATGATTAGTATAAACTGTTTGCCTCCACCCCCTGGGATAGTGGTCGGGGCATTCGGGAAATAGAGTAAATTCTTTAAAATTCTACCCGTGTTAGAATGTACAAACGGTGGATCTCAACCCTCTGAGGCAAGAGGATCGGCGCCATATTGGGGAAATACTTCTTAATAGTGGTTAATTTCTTTAAAAATTCTTCGTTTGAAGGAATTTAAAGATTCTGTATCAATTTGGTCTGAATTATCTTCGGATGAAAGGTACTCGGTTTGTTTAAACGATGGGTCTGACCCCCACCCTTAGACCCAGATGGGTAAGATCCAATAGGGAAAGGCGAGATAAATTTCCGAAACTCTACTTCTTCTGTATACATGCGTGAATTCTGTCCCGATTTCACATGAAGCATGCTTAGGTGAAAGGGAATCCTTTTTGTTTAAACGGCGTTTCTCTGCCCGAGTTGGCCCTAGCGGCTGAACCCAATAAGTGAATAGAGCAAATTCTTTAACTTCCTCCTTCTTCTGTAGGAATATCAAGATTTTAGGTATCATAGGGTGAAGGGATATCAGTTTTGTAGAAATTGTGGGTCTCGGCCACCAGGGACAGAAGGGGCGCTACACAATAGAAGGAATTTATCAAGATTGACTTTATTCTTTAGGAGTGATTGCATGCTGTCCTGCTTTAGTCTGAAGCATGCATGACTTTTGTATAAACGTTACATCTGATTCCGATGGGGTAGATGAGAAATCAATCTCAATTTTGTCAATGATTTTCAAGCAATTTCACTGAACCAGGCGAACGATACAGGCCCTTAATGATAGAACTTGTATAATAGTATTAAGTATGATATTGTGGTAATAGTAACAGTGATGTATTTACGAGAACAGTTGTGCATTAAGTTACTTATAGATTGGTAAAAGTAAATCTTACCATTCTATAAATAGAAACAATATCAATGATTTCAATATAATGTGATCTGTGTGTGAAGGTATGTATTGTCTTTGAGTATCAATGTACACCATATATTAGATATTACAAAATGAATGGGAATTGAGTCGGTCAATTAATCCTTCAATATTTGATAAAATCCAAAGAAAACGCGTACATACAGCATTCAGAACCGTGTCCCACTACTCTATGATTTCAAACATTACATACAGGTTGTACCACACCTCATGGGATTTAGTTAAATCAGGATATTCTATTTTTGAATGATTGGACAGAAAACACGTACTTAAAGAAAACCCTTAAATGGAAAAAGAGCTTTATAAAAAAAACGTATTCATTGAACTAAACAGTATTTTGGCCGGTTTCAGTCGATGTAGGAAAATCGGAAGTGGCGGAGACAAATATTGAAAGTGAGGCGCACTAATATCTTATTTCAATAGACTTGTCAAACATTTTTGATGTTAGATGACTTCAGAATACATTTGTATTCAGAACCATGTAACTATATATAAAAATTGAAAGGTGGTATGCGGGAACACTTGACTGAAAATTTCTATTGTATTCTTATATGTTTACTTTCAATTGCATGGAGAAAAGTTGATCGACTATGGAATACTAAGACCTATATACAATAGCTAATACTCCGCTAAACGCTCAATTAATCTAAACATCGTGGCGCATTTCCAAAGATATTGTGAATATATGACTTCCTCAACAAAAATGAAGGAGGTGATATGCATTATCCGACATAAAACGACTGTCTGTCACTGACTGATCAAGTGTTTTCATTATATACTTACAAAAGTGCCATAACAGTCGATATTTAACATACTGTATCACCAGATGAAGGCACTTATTGGAGCCTAATTTGATGTCTTATGCGTACACAACGTGTTTAGTGTTAGTAAATTCAATGATATTACGGAAATCTCCAATACTACGTGTTTAGTGTTAGTAAATTCAATGATATTACGGAAATCTCCAATACTGCGTGTTTAGTGTTAGTGAATTCAATGTTATTACGGAAATCTCCATCACTACGTGTTTAGTGTTAGTAAATTCAATGTTATTACGGAAATCTCCATCACTACGTGTTCAGTGTTAGTAAATTCAATGATATTACGGAAATCTCCATCACCACGTGTTTAGTGTTAGTAAATTCAATGTTATTACGGAAATCTCCATCACTACGTGTTTAGTGTTAGTAAATTCAATGTTATTACGGAAATCTCCATCACTACGTGTTCAGTGTTAGTAAATTCAATGATATTAAGGAAATCTCCAATACTACGTGTTTAGTGTTAGTGAATTCAATGTTATTACGGAAATCTCCATCACTACGTGTTTAGTGTTAGTAAATTCAATGTTATTACGGAAATCTCCATCACTACGTGTTTAGTTAGTAAATTCAATGTTATTACGGAAATCTCCATCACTACGTGTTTAGTGTTAGTAAATTCAATGTTATTACGGAAATCTCCATCACTACGTGTTTAGTGTTAATAAATTCAATGTTATTACGGAAATCTCCATCACTACGTGTTTAGTGTTAGTGAATTCAATGTTATTACGGAAATCTCCATCACTACGTGTTTAGTGTTAGTAAATTCAATGTTATTACGGAAATCTCCATCACTACGTGTTTAGTGTTAGTAAATTCAATGTTATTACGGAAATCTCCATCACTACGTGTTTAGTGTTAGTAAATTCAATGTTATTACGGAAATCTCCATCACTACGTGTTAAGTGTTAGTAAATTCAATGTTATTACGGAAATCTCCATCACTACGTGTTTAGTTAGTAAATTAATGTTATTACGGAAATCTCCATCACTACGTGTTTAGTGTTAGTGAATTCAATGTTATTACGGAAATCTCCATCACTACGTGTTTAGTGTTAGTAAATTCAATGTTATTACGGAAATCTCCATCACTACGTGTTCAGTGTTAGTAAATTCAATGTTATTACGGAAATCTCCATCACTACGTGTTCAGTATTAGTAAATTAAATGTTATTACGGAAATCTCCATCACTACGTGTTCAGTATTAGTAAATTAAATGATATTACGGAAATCTCCATCACTACGTGTTTAGTGTTAGTGAATTCAATGTTATTATTCATCATACGTGTTTAGTGTTAGTAAATTCAATGTTATTACGGAAATCTCCATCACAATGTTATTACGTGTTTAGTGTTAGTGAATTCAATGTTATTACGGAAATCTCCATCACTACGTGTTTAGTTAGTAAATTCAATGTTATTACGGAAATCTCCATCACTACGTGTTTAGTGTTAGTGAATTCAATGTTATTACGGAAATCTCCATCACTACGTGTTTAGTGTTAGTAAATTCAATGTTATTACGGAAATCTCCATCACTACGTGTTTAGTGTTAGTGAATTCAATGTTATTACGGAAATCTCCATCACTACGTGTTTAGTGTTAGTAAATTCAATGTTATTACGGAAATCTCCATCACTACGTGTTTAGTGTTAGTAAATTCAATGTTATTACGGAAATCTCCATCACTACGTGTTTAGTGTTAGTGAATTCAATGTTATTACGGAAATCTCCATCACTACGTGTTCAGTGTTAGTAAATTCAATGTTATTACGGAAATCTCCATCACTACGTGTTTAGTTAGTAAATTCAATGTTATTACGGAAATCTCCATCACTACGTGTTTAGTGTTAGTGAATTCAATGTTATTACGGAAATCTCCATCACTACGTGTTTAGTGTTAGTGAATTCAATGTTATTACGGAAATCTCCATCACTACGTGTTTAGTTAGTAAATTCAATGTTATTACGGAAATCTCCATCACTACGTGTTTAGTTAGTAAATTCAATGTTATTACGG